CTCTTCGGGTTGGTCACTGTGAGATCATCCCCAACCACCTGGATTCCTGCACTGGCTGTGAACTTCTGCCATGCTCCCCAGTCATCCTGGTCAAACGGATCTTCGATAGACACCACTAAGGAAAGGAGGGAGAGGCCTCATCAGTGTGATCCTCCTAGCGTGCTCCACTGCAGCACCCAGAGCCTTGCCTCCCCCTTAACTTGCTGCCTGCCTGGCCTCACACTGCCCAAAATCATAGGACACGGATGTCCGCCAACTGATCCTGGAAACACTGTGCCCACCAACCTACTCCTGCAGCAGGGGACACAAGTCCGCCCACAGTCCTGGGTCTATAGGTCTAAAAAAAAAAATCTCACTGCCACCCAGATTTGAGTGCAGTGGCGTAACCATAGTTCACTCCAGCCGCAAAATCCTGGGATCAAGTGATCCCTTCCACCTCAGCCTCCCGAGTCGCTGGAACTACAGGGGTATGCCAACCCACCCTGCTACTTATTTTTTGTGTAGAAATGGAGTCCTGCCATGTTTCCCCATGTTAACCTCAAACTCCTGGGCTCAAGTGATGATGTCTCAGCCTCTCGGAGTGCTGGGATTACAGGTGTGAGCCACCATACGCCCAGCCTCAAAACAAAAAAAAATTTTTTTTTGGACCTACTGCAATGGGACATGTATTTACCTAGGGTGGTTTGAGTTTAGTACCACTGAAGATCAGAATGAAGCCAGACTCAGAAGTGAGAAGACCTGAGTCTGGGTCTTTGCTCAACCTCGACCAAGTTATTTAGGGTAGTGGGTAAACGCTCAGACTCTGGAGTCAGATTTCCCTGTCTGAATTCTTGCCTCACCATTTGCTGTGTGCTCTCGGGCAGATTATTCAGACATACCCCCCAACCCCCTCCTTGCAGCCATCACCAGCCAGCCAGATGCTCTCACTGCCCTGTTGCAGGTGGGTGGCTGGAAAGGGCAGATGGCACCCTGGAAGCACTCACCTGGGTAGTCCTTGATGAAGGACTTGTACAGGTCGGCCAGCTGGTCAGGTGAGATGTACCTGCTGGGGTCATCAGGAGACTTGAAGTCCAGGTCATACTTCCCAGACCTGTAGA